AAGAAACTTCAAGTTATATCTAATGTCACTGATCTCACTGCAGTCCCTGAATCATACTTGACTGTAGTACTTGATCACATTCAGTCTTCTGGGTTAAATAATATGTATAAGGCTTGAATATTAGCCTTTCAAGAGTTGACAGGGAAATGAAATCGCATTAGACTTCTAACCCCTGCAACTCTAGTACGGGACATCCGTCCTGTACGAACAGATGCACAAATGTGTGATTACTAACTACTAACATCAAATTAATCTAATAATCCAAAGGAGGAGTATCGGTGTTCGTCTGTTCTAAAGAGGACTTCGACCCGTGAGCAGCCCCCTGGGGAATTATGTCGGAAAATCCGACACCATTTAATAATCACACAGATAATAGCTGTATTGTATAAACAAGTTACCCATAGAAAACATAACTTGTAGTGGAATTACCGTCTAAAGAAAACGGGATATCATCACCACATACTATTATAAATCACCACCTATTATGGTGGGAATTATTCTTAAATACATTAGTCTTTGGACTTTACCATCATAAAAACATCTCATATAAATTAACTTAATTATCAATATTAAAGTAGAGTAAATGTGACCCTTCTATCACTTTCTGAAATCTGGACAATGTAAGCCAGGCATCAGGGGAGGAAGGAGGGCAGCCATTGTTGAGACTAGACCAGAGGCTCACACGGGAGCAAATTCGGCTCCTGTTAAATTTACTTGGACGTAGTGTTATGGAAACTAGAAGTGTACCATTATCAACACACTGTCTACAAATCAAGTTAAGTGTTCTTTCCGAAACCCATGTATCTTCATTTTTGGCTTTAAATGATGATACTAACATCAACTTCTGTTGGTATAGTCAGCTGTAATCTCCTTAGTATAATGCTACTGGAGAAATATAATCAGCTGACAAATTTAGATTTCTACTAGTATTGTTTATCTGCAGGCATAGGTCTCCTCAGGCTTGTTACTGGGCCTGAGAGTAATTTACCTACTGCAGAGTTTAACATGGTTATACCCTGATATTTAGTAGGGCTACCGATGAATCGATGACAATAGTCTGTCCCCACAAGGAGACCGAAGTCAGTGAGGTGATCAGACTTAATATTATCTGCCAATTTTATTCCTCTATTTCTCAGGAATTTGGCTGTTGCTCTCAGACCTTGAACTTGTAGGTCTACTGGTATTTTGTCCACCACAATGGCTTGTACTCGACAGATGTACCTACCTAAACGTACTGATGGTTGTACCACCTGGTAGACTTGAGGTCCTGCATCTGTTACAAACCCTGAGATGTTCAATGACGTCTGGGCTACAGGCCTTAATTGTAATTCATCTGCCAACCTTTTAGTGATGTATGTTCTCTGGGATCCTTGGTCAAACAACCCTCGGGTATGGACCTTGGCCCTCTTATTCAGGATGGTAATTTGGGCAGTAGGCAAAGTCGTATTACCTTTAGACTTTGCCGATTGGACACTCTTTGTTTGTTGCACCTTGCAGTACTGTACTGAGGTGGGAATGCTATCTTCCACCTTGGGTCTTGAATACGTTAATTTCGTATATTTACACAGTGCTGCATGGTGCCTACCTCTTCTACACCTGTTGCAGGTGTTGAATTGGGTATCACAATAGTCTATGTTGTGTGACTTGAGACACCTTGCACATCTCCCTAATTCCTGGAGTCGCTCCATACGAATGTCTCTGGTTGGATAATTAGCACAACAGTATGTTGAATGTTTCTTTTTGCAGAACATACATGTCCCCCAGCCTACTGCACGTTTGGAAGTTACCGGTTTGGGTGAACTAGTACCAGTAGGCTTGGAGGTTGCTGCTGCATTGTCAGATTTTCTGCAACTTGATGTTTGAGTAATTGGTTGATGTTTATTTGGGGTGGTTGTTTTACCCTTTAATTGACTATTATTTTCTATTTCTGAAGGCTTGCATGAGGCTTTAACTTCCTCATTTGCTCGTCGTTTGTTTATGATGGAATGTAAACCTTCAGTGATGTCCTGTACTGTCAGGATGGTGTTATGTTGATGTGCATATAATTCATCTAGTATATCGCTGGACAATTTTCGTTGAAGGACTACTTTGGTCATCCATTCACTAGTAGTTATATCAACCTTAAGTCTGAATGTTCTTAGTAGTGACTCAAACTCCATGCTGAAGGATTGTAATGAGTCAGCAGTCTGATCAGGTTGAGGTAAATCCAGCAATTGTAGTACTAGATGTATGACAGTTTTCTCATTGCCAGCATTATCCATACTGGCTAGTTGGTGAAGCCTTGTGGGGCTTGTACTTGGGCTGCTCATAATACTGAACAAGCACTGATGGTAGCCTAGGGTAAATTCTGCACTCACTAGGCAATAATCCTACCTCTACTAGAGGTTAGCACTTAAAATTAATACACATTATACATATACAATCATACACACTAATGATTTGAGTGATAAACCAGTGTCACTGGAAGTACCTTTAGGTTAGCTCTTCTATATCACCCTAGGATGGTAGAGACACTAATTAATCACTCAAAGGTGTAATGATCATAAGTAAATTATTATATATACAACTCAATTCGAGTTGATAAAATTTACACCCAAAATAGGGTCTGGACCATTCATTAATGGTGTTAGGTTGATCAATATAGTACAACTGACTATGGTAATAATGGGACTAGAATGAGCAATAATAGTTCAACTAGTCAATGGTAATTTACTACCCTGTTGTGGGTTGGCAATTAGTAAATATTATACTGTGATCACTAGTGCAATATATATTAAATAATTCTCTATTTTGGAGAAATAATATACACAATTATTGATAATAGCCTCTTAATTAGCCTCTATGAAACTTCCAATATTATCAAGAAGTATTAAATATTATTAGTGACCTCGCGAAATAAAGTCCACAAAATTCGTAGATAATCTCTCGCGAAATTTAACACCACGAAATCCGTGAACAATATCGCAAAGACACAGTCACTAATTTGGCTGGCTTCAATATTAGCGCTGTCATTTCACGAAATAACACACCACCAAATTTCTGTGGGTGTGCATGAAACCACCGACGAAGCTGATCTGAACTGAGAGGGGCTCGTGAACTCGCACGAGTCAACGCCGCCGTCATGACTGCTGGCTTTGTTTAAATCACACTGCACTAGTATATTTAATGAATCCACTGGTTAACTGGTTCATCCGGTACTAAGATGACCAAATGTGGGTTCAAAGGATCAAATAATCCGTCATCCGGTTCGAAGATGACCAAATAATGTGGGAACCGACCTGTGAGATTTATATTTATTTAATTTATATGAATTTATATTTACGTTAATTTATATACTTCGATAGCAATTTGTATAATGATAAGTGGACTGTATTTCTGCAATAATCTCATAATCTCACAAATCGATCCTCTACACATTAGGGGGGTTTATTAAATTTATATATGCAGCCAATCAAACTACAGAATTAGACTACATACATTGAAGAGGTTCCTTATCTTATAGTACAGCAGGTTAGTCCACCAGGTATAACTAGGGTGTAGACACCAAATTATCCTCTTTGAGGTAGCTTCCATCACCCAGTAACTGGTGCACAAAATCTTGCTTCCTCGTCTTGACCTGTCAAAAGTGTGCTAGCTGTGAAGCCAGAATCCTATATATGACAAGTATTTCAGAGAAAACTGTACATGGAACAATAAAGACCTGGCTTAATTACCTTTAGTTTGAGGCCTCCACGTGCTCTAACCGGCCCACCCTATATAATGACATTAATGGCCAAAAATGAAGATACATGGGTTTCGGAAAGAACACTTAACTTGATTTGTAGACAGCGTGTTGATAATGGTACACTTCTAGTTTCCATAACACTACGTCCAAGTAAATTTAACAGGAGCTGAATTTGCTCCCGTGTGAGCCTCTGGTCTAGTCTCAACAATGGCTGCCCTCCTTCCTCCCCTGACGCCTGGCTTACATTGTCCAGATTTCAGAAAGTGATAGAAGGGTCACATTTACTCTACTTTAATATTGATAATTAAGTTAATTTATATGAGATGTTTTTATGATGGTAAAGTCCAAAGACTAATGTATTTAAGAATAATTCCCACCATAATAGGTGGTGATTTATAATAGTATGTGGTGATGATATCCCGTTTTCTTTAGACGGTAATTCCACTACAAGTTACGTTTTCTATGGGTAACTTGTTTATACAATACAGCTATTATCTGTGTGATTATTAAATGGTGTCGGATTTTCCGACACTATCTATCCATCTATCCATATTTATCGACTATCTGTCTCTTCATCTGTCTGCCTTTATATGACTTTTCTCTTTCATTTTCTGTTGTTTACTTTGTCTCTGTCTGTCTCTTTCTGTTTCTGCCTGTCTCTCTGTCTTTATTTATCTGTCTCTCTTTGTCTCTGCCTGTCTGTCTCTGATCATCTTTCTCCATGTCTCTCTCATTCTTGATGCAGCTGTTGGTGGGGTGGTGGCTCGTGTTCTGTCTGGTCATGACAACTTGCTACAGTTCCTCCCTGATCGCCCACATGACCGTCCAAGGCAAGACCCGGCCCATCGAGACCTTAGAAGACCTGGCCAATCAGAAGAGCTGGAAGTGGGCTACCGAACCCTGGCTCCTTAAAGGAGTACCGTTTGAATATTTTTCCAAGCATGATGACCCACTTGTGAAGAAAATATTCAAGAATTGGGAGGTTAGTCCAAACTAGCACTCATAATAATTTTTATTACCATGATTTATTAAATATTTTAGCACATGTACGCACAGTAACTGTTTATGAATTAAGGTATATATTTTCATTTACTGTTTTGTGCGGTCAAAAACAAACATTAAATGAACGTTAAAAACTCTTCTTAACACGATTTGATATCACATAACTTTTTAATCTAATTATAACCATGGAGGATACAACGCCGACCTTGTAGGACAGACCTGCTCCCTGCGGAGTATACATTCCATCCTTGACGGTGGAAATAGCCTCGTAATTAATCAACATTCTTTTTCCAAGTCAAAGGAGAGTTTTCAGGTATATAATATTTTATTCCAAGAACTACATTATCCCGTGATTTGTTTTTTATCGTCATTAGTATTATTGTTTAGCGCTTTCCCTGGGTGCGGAGGCATCAACCAGGAGAAAACGCTAAATTAATATTGTAATATTTTCGTTCTTAATGGCAAACACGGGTATTACTAGTCAGTTTGTTAGGTGTGTCACCCACATAGCACCACGGCTGAACACCACCACCACACTCCAGCAGTCATTCACAGCATATATTTTATCGACTATCGATAAGTGATAACTTATCGATAACCTCTACAAGAGCTTCTTGTAGGATAACTTCTACAAGAGCTTCCTTCGTGGGAATTTGTCAAAGGTTTTCTTCCTACTGAATAGCATAAGCAGCCACCTCACTCCAGCTTGATATTCTTTCCCAGGTCTCTATATCCATACTAATAACTACTAATTCACCCTAATAACTACTTTACGATAAATGAATTTCTTTTAAATTCGCTTGCCTCAGGTGGAGGAAGCGGACAGGGCGCTCCAGAAGGTCCTGGGCGGCCGCTACACATTGATTGACTTCGAGAACTACGTGAGCATCATGGTGGCCTCCCGCTACACGGACCACCATGGAAACACGCCCTTCTTCATTAGCAAGAAAGGTTTCTCTGTAATGGCTGCTTTTGGATGGGGCTTCAGGTGAGAATTGTGTGTCGGTCTTTTAACACAATGACGCCTGACACCATTACATTTTGTTATCTCTGCTGTTGTAGCTATAGCTTCTGTTGCCCCCCCCCCCCCTTCCTGTTATTCCATTTGAAACTGCTCTTACAGTATACTTACTAAAGTGTTTACTCTCCTCCATATTGGCCAAATATGTCTAGCTTCCACCGCGTGTCCTATCATTAGGTTGCTACCTTAACATTTTCTCAATATTCATCAATTCCACTTAGAACTTGTTATGTCTAAATTATGTCCCCTTTTTTTCTTTTTCCTAATTATAATAGAGTTAATTCTTTATGCTCGCCTTGTTTTGTAACTAGTTTTTTTTATTGATGAATCCTTGTTTGATAGTTGATGGGAAGAGCTTAACGTTAGTACTACATACTCCAGTACAGGTCGGACTTGAGTTGTACAGAACGTTCTGAAAGTATTATCGTCAAATTTCCCAATGGGTGTGTTTATCTTCGCCAGCGTTGCATCACTGCTGATGTTGATCTGTTTTTTTTTTATTCAGTAATAAGTTTGGTGATATATGCGCATTTGCTTCTTATTTATTATGTGTTGCACTTTCGACCTACTTATACGTGTTCCTTGTTTACATCCTCATTACCATGTATTGATCTGATGTGATGTCCAGTAACTCATGGTCTTACCATCCTGTCCAGGTCCTACTGAAGCATCTTTCTGTTTTTTTTTTTTTTTCCTGATTCTCCTATTAATATTTCATTAGCGGATAATAATTTATGTGAATTAGTTCTTCAGTCATGTCACTTATATGTACTAAGGAAAACATGGATTCTAGCACCAAATCATGTGGGATTGCACTACCTTCCTCCAATTCGATTTTCAACTCACAGCTTTTACTCTCCATATACCTTTTTTAAGGTAGTCTCTCCATTTACTTTATCACTATTTCAATTTCCAATTACTCTAGGCTAGTTACTTAACTTCTACAAGAGCTTTCTTCATGAGAATTTGTCAAAGGTTTTCTTCCAGTTGAATAGCATACTCTAACAGGCTTATCAGACTAAATTTCGCCAATCTGAACTAGTGATAGTGCTTATTTAAATTAGTTCCATTGAGATTTTCCATTATACAAACTCGTACAGTTATATTTTGGTATAATTGGTAAGAATCCAAGTAGGTGAGTGGTTCCTGACTTCCCGTAATTTTGTGTATTGGCATGATAAGTACCTTTTTCCTACTACTCTGTACCACTCATTTCCAATGATTCATTATGATCAATGTAAGTCCTTCAAAGACGTTGACTGTAGTTTCCTTTAGGATCCATATCAGGTCCTCATGCTTTAGTTTGGTGAAGTTTCTGCGGCTGGTAACTTGACTCTCACTCTATAACTATTACCACGCTCACTTCCGTCTCTGGAGATGCCGTTCTACTCATGCCTGGTTGTCGCTCCAGCTGAACAAAACATTCCTTACAACCTTTCACTTAAATATTGAAATACGTTCATCATTAGCTCTCCACTTACCATGGTATTTCTTACCACCTGATTGTTTATTGGTGATTTTCCTCCAAATTTGGTTGTATAGTAATCTGTTCTAGTTCTAGTAATCGAGGGTTCTTAGCTTCGGTGATTGTAGCATTATCTTGTTATAATGCAAGTATATCCATTCCAGGTCTTCTTGTCCTACTTCTTCAGTCTTGCTTTTCAAGAACATTTTAAATTCTTTATAATGCTTATGAGAGTTCTTGAAATAATTAGCTTTAAAACAATAAATTCTCTATTGCTTTAGCATCGTTGTATAGCCTGTTGAACTATCAGTTATGTTTACTCAAATATTCTTTCCATCGCTGAGAAATGTTCCAACATTGTGTCTCTAATCATTTGATTAATCTGTCCCATTATATATTTTATTATGTTGTCATACAGATTTTTCCTATAGCATTCTCACTAATTACTCTCAATTTGTTTATTATCACCCTTTTTTAGATTTCATCTTGTTCTCCTTTCTCGAGTCTTACCACTTTAATTACAAGTGTAATATATTCTCCTATACTAGCAGAGTGGACATCGGAACCTTCTGGCATTTGGTTGTGGCACTTCTATATACATGATTCATTTTGCTTAAGGATGTATTATAATCTTGAAAGAACGTCAGGCCTCCAAACATTGCTCCTTCCTTGACACTTCAGAAAATTTGTCTAACATTCGACCCGTAAAGTGCTCCAAGAGTGATTGTGATTCAGGGTGATTTATATATTCCAGAGTATTAGGATGTTTTTCTTCATTATATGAACTATATAAGCAGCACTCAGGTTTTCACTTTTTGTTGTTTAGTTGGTGTGGGTCGGATTCTCGTAAATGTTTCGTTATGCTGCAGTTATAGTGCCAGGATAGTTGTATAAGATTAATTAATCTTTGATCAAACGTGGCTCAATTCCAATATTTCAGCTTCTCTTCTTCCTCACAGTTTGGCACCCACGGCGGGAGCGGGAATGTCTTTGTTTACACCAGCGATAGTGCATCTGATCTGGGTCTTCTTTATATACCAATTATTTTACATCATCTCTGTTATTGACGTGACTATCAGTGGATGTGTGTCATGTACACTTAGACTGCTTAATGCAGCTGACCCAATTGGCTGGTAACGTATTTTTGCATATGTCATTGCATGGTAACATTAAGACAAAACTATGAATAAGATATTTATAGACCCGCTGTGTTGTTTTATCAGGAAAGGTGCGCCATTCTACCCTCGTTTTCTTCAGCTGTTATCCAGACTGGAAGATGCTGGTATCATAAGTTTCTGGATTAAAGACGTGATAGCGAGGCGTGTGAGGGAGAACAGAGCGAGAGAAGCACTAGGCTCGCCTGCTGTTGTCGGAGACCCATCACTGGTAAACATCTCATAACACCTTAAGCATCTGGAAACACTAATCACAACATCAAAGTCTTTAAATTGGCAATATGCAGAATAAATAAATTATTTTTGCAAACTGTGCATTTGTTAATAGCAATTGAAAATATTAAAATGTAAGTATAATTAAAAATAATTAATTTCTAAGCACTTGGATATTTATTCTACTAAAATATATGACACATTCATAAATTACGAAAACAAATTGTATTAGTGGTAATATAATTATATCTACAAAATTGTATAAACATATGATTCAGCGTTTTATCAATTTAAAATATCAATTATGAAACCAAAAATGTCAGCAATTTTTGGGTTTTGAATAATAGACAAAAAGTGTGTATAAATATAGACAGGACAGAAGCACTTCTCAGTAAATTAATAAGTGGGAAAATAACTGACTTTGAGAAAATCATTGTATCAGGATAGGGATTAAACCAACATCGTGGTTTAGGATTTTCTCCTAGACATCACGTTATTGTAATATCAGTTATGTAGTACACTTTGTTAATTGTCAACAGAGAAGTGACAAAATAGAACACTTAAATAGTAGCAAATTATTATGTGGGAAAAGAGAACACTTTCACAGCAGTAAATAGAAAAACAGGAATATGGTAGACTTTCATAGAAGTAAATAAAGAAGTGCCAAAATAGAAGTGTTAGATAATAAGAAAATAAGAGTTAGATAATTATGAATAATTTAGTGAAAAATAAAATGAATAAATGAGTTCTTCAACGAAAATCAAAGCTGAAACTTTATTGATCACCATTCATTTTGCAGGACGACCAGAGCCACATTGCGCTAGGGATGCAACACGTGCAGGGCGCCTTCTACTTATTGTTTTTGGGATTTGGTATCGCGTTCCTCACCCTGCTGGGGGAGAACCTCGCGCACCGCTGCTCGTCGCCTCAGCAGCACTCTTCCCAGCATCACCAGACCAGAAGCCAGGAATGATGGTGCTGGACTTTGCGTTCTGTAGGGTCATGTTACGGAGTCTTTAGTCTTCTGTGCTTATGACGCCCCCTACATGTCTTCTTCCTTGGGCCTACGGTATCACTCCAGTCGTATTAGCAGAGCAGCATTATGTTTTAATTGTTTTAATTCTTGTTAATTTAATATTTCCATTTGTTAGTCTATTTGTAAAAAAAATGGCATTTCATAGAACTTTCTTTTAAGTATCCATGGCTTAATAATGTGATCATTTCAGCCAAATCAGGAGGGACTGACACCGTTGTAGTGATGAATAAAATTAGAGGAAGAACCCTGATCGAATTAGTTCTGCAGACGCAATTCTCAGATGTTTTGTTATTTGTTTTGACAAATCAAGAGTTTAATTTTTGTTTCAGCAGTCATGAGTGACAGATCGACATAGGATTACAGCAGTTAGAAGTTTTTGTTCCATTCAAGTTCCGAGAGTTCAGTGGGAACTCAAAGCAAGCTATAATAGCATGATTCTGCGGTTTATATTTTCCGGATTAAAGGAAACACTGGAACTCTTTGGCTGATGAATAGCAAAGAGCGGCAAAGCAGATTAGATTAGCTTAGATCGTGGATGACATATTAAAGAAACAAGGATTCATCCGAATACGAGGTGAAAAATCCTATACAAATAAATTGAGGCTCAAAAGTATGTAGGTAATTATAAATAGAAGGCACCACCCGGAAGACTATGCACTATGTAGGACAGTCAAACACATGTAAGAGAAATAGACCTATCAAAAAGAACGAGAAGAACAAAATATAGAAGAACAGTTCTCTTACAATCAAAGGGATAAAATATTAAAAGGAAACTGTCTTACCAAAACCAATCAAATAAACAAAACAAGAGTAGATAGTTCCTTCAAATGCAAAAGAAAAAAAACAAAATATTATACTTTCCTATAGTAAGGTTTGAAAATTATAACTTAACTTCGTAGCAAAATGTAAGAAGTGCAGCCCAAGACATGGTGTATCACTCCGTGTGGGTGTAGAGCACCTCAGCTGTAGGGCACCTCTCGTCTCACGGACTCAGTGATCCCTTGCTATTCTTGTAACAATCGTACGCCATCCTAAGTAGGTTACAGTGACTTTTGTCGTCATGCGTTATTCAATAGTTTTTACACAGAGATAACACTATAGTTACACTAAGTGCAGAATCACTTTTCTTTGTTTATAGCCTAGTATGAAATAATTGTAAATTCAATAGAAACGTGTTCTTGACTACAGCGACCTCGGGTTGTGCATTATTTATGCCACTGCAGATTCCCCAGTGTTTCACTAGTACCTGGTGAAACACTTGGGAATCACCCAATGGAATCGCCCAGTGGAAAACACTGGGGAATCCCCAGTGTTTGGGATTCCCCAGTTGGGATTAAATTATTAGATGATAATAATATATTCATCACACATCAATTATCACATGCATCAGAAATCGAAGGGGGCTCTGAAATAGTTGATACTATACTCATTCGAAAGCTGATACTAGAAATTAATATTAAAGTAATTCAACATCGAACATACAATTGTTTGATGGTATTCCTTTGATCCAGAAGGAAAATAATTGAACTTGTAGACAACATTTACTTGAAATTATAAAGCAATTGATCACTTCACCCTATTCTGAGTCACTCTATAAGATTAAGGACAACTTAACCATAGGACAAAGTGAACCTACACTTATAAATGTCTTTTCTCTCAAGTAAACGTAATATACGTATGTCCTTAGTGTCAAGTGTATATTCCTGAATGTGTTACATTGTTGACAAAAGTATAAAAATAAAATTGAATGGATAAGCGATATCGTGTTTCTATCTACCATATTCTAAGTGGTAAGAGGAGAAGGTATTTATGTACATTGGAAATTGTCCATAAGAAAATTAGCAATAGTAACAATGCTGTTGCTATATCCAATTCTGCAGAAGCACACACACACACACACATGTAGGGAGACGTGTAGGGTCAGCGGTCCGCGTTAACCGAGGGAACAATAGGGTTCAAGGGAGCGGGTGTACTGTGCAGTGAGAATCAGGACCGTGTAAATTGAACAGTGGCATTGTAATGCAACACATTGATCACATCTCGTGGTGAATTATCTTAGTGAATTTAGAGAAGATAGCTGGTGAAGATCGACTTCTTGAGTCGCATCAGCCGGGACCCACGTGGAGACCTGAAGACCTCACAGGATTACCAACGACACGCCGTGTATTCACCTAGAGTGCTTGTGGGAGCCTGGCTGGTAAGTGTCTCTCATAAGTCTCCAACAGTGTACAAGGTTTATATAATATCATATCATAGACACTATTGCATTCCATTCAATAATACAATCGTAATAATACAATCGTGGTAGACAGGTAACAGGGACATCAACTGTGAGCTCACTGGGAACCCAGGTAAGCCGCTAATCCCCCACCCACCCGCCGTAATCTGAAGACTACACCTCACCCACCTCTTAACCCCCCATCTCACTCTCCCAACACACTCCCCCCCCCCCACCACTCCCACTCTCCCAAAACACTCCCCCTCCCCCCACCACACCCACTCAAACTAGGACTATTCTTGCTCTCTCTCTCTCTCTCTCTTGCTCTCTCTCTCTCTTGACAAGGGCAAAATGGCAGGTGGACGCAACAGGGACACAGGGAACAGCCAAAGTGACCAAACGAGGGACATGTTAACCCAAGTTCTGGAGGAATTCAGGAAGGAGATGCAGGAAATGAGGATTACAATTAACAACCTGCAACGTGAGCTGACATCAGCAAGGGAGGAGATCAAATCCTTCACAGAAAAAAATAAAGAGACCGAGCATCAGATTATCATCCAAAGGGAAGGTGAGAATGTTACATTGGAAGGAAATTCCTTTGTACCTGAAACATTTGCAGACATACTGAAAAAGAACTCAGAAGCTATGGACACAGTGAGGGAGGTAGCCATGCAAGCAGCCACCTCACAGGAAGCAGCAAGGTGCACCACTTAGCTGCTGGAGAGAAAAAGATCAGTGGTAGTTGTAGGCATCAAAGAACAGGAAGGATCCAACAGCCAAGAATGAAATAGCAAGGATAGAGAGGCAATACAGGGGCTACTGAATGGGTTACAGATGGAAGGGGCTGAAGGAAACATTGAGAAGGTTTTCAGGTTGGGCTGGTAAAACAAGGACAGAAACCGACTTGTAAAGGTGGTGTTTACAAACGAAACCACGAAGGAGGATATTCTCGAAAGGAAGAGTTGACTGAAGCATGTGGAGGGATACAAGAAAGTATTCCTGCAGAGGGACAGGACGAAGAAGGAGAGAGCCAGGGCAGCAGAGGCAAAGAGGAAGCGCAGGGAGGGAGGAGCAAACCAGGAAATCACAACCCCCAACACAACAGTCCTAGAGACAAGAGGCGAACCCAAAACCAGCATCCCAGTAACACCAGAGGGGAGGGCAACACCACCACCCCCCTCTGCATAGAAACCCTCCCTTCCCCCCACCCTATCTGCCCCCACCCAACCCTCCCTCCCCCCCCCACCCCATTCTTACCCTGTCATCCCTTCCCATTCCCATCATGTCCCCCCTCCCACCTTTCCCCCCTGTCTCCCCTCCCCCTTCATCCCATACCCTCCCAATCCCTCCTCCCCTCTCACCCCGTATCCTCCATGTCCCCTCTATCTCCTTAACCCACACCCTACCTGTCCCCCCTTCCCTGAAACCCCCACCCCTCACCCCAAACTCCTCTGAGACCCTGCAAACCACCTCACAGATCATCTCACCCACTGAAAAGCTTCCCACACCAGCAGAATGCTCGCCAAGAAAGGGACAAGAAAATGAACTGAAGAAAGTGAGCTTCAAGGCAATGTACACTAACATAGATGGAATTACAAATAAAACAAGTGAACTCGGAGAATGGGCACTAGAAGAAAATCCAGACATAATAGCACTCACAGAAACAAAGCTAACAAACACCATAACAAACACAGTGTTTCCACAGGGCTACTATGTAGTGAGGAAAGAGAGAGAAGGGAGAGGAGGAGGTGGTGTAGCTTTGCTACTAAGAGAAGGTTGGAGTTTCGAAGAGATGGTAATTCAGAACTGTGAAGGTTTCAGTGACTACATATCGGGCACCATAGCAACTGGAGGACAGAAAATTATAGTAGTAGTCATATATAACCCCCCACCGAATGTCAGAAGACCCAGACAGGAATATGATAGAAACAACTTGGCCACCATCAATATAATAGAGAGAGCAGCTTCTGTGGCTAGCAGCAACGGATCCAGGCTACTAATCATGGGAGACTTCAACCATGGAAAGATAGATTGGGGGAACAGAGACCCACATGGAGGCCCAGACACATGGAGAGCTAAGCTGCTGGATGTGGCAACAAGAAACTTTCTAAGTCAACACGTCAAGGGACCGACAAGAACGAGAGGAGGGGATGAACCAGCCTTGCTTGATCTGATATTTACCCTAAATGAGTCGGATATAAGGAAAGTTAAGTTGGAAGCCCCCTTGGGAATGAGTGATCATAGTGTATTGAGCTTTGAGTACCTGGTTGAGCTAGGAATTATCACCCCCAAAAAAGAACTGGGAAACAAAGGGCTGGCGTACCGAAAGGGAAACTATGAGGAGATGAATAAATTCCTATGGGATATACATTGGGACACAGAACTCGGAACCAAGTCCGTACAAGACATGATGGACTATGTCACCCAAAAATGTCAGGAGGCTGTAAGCAGGTTTGTCCCAGCCCTACAGGAAAAAACAGAGAAGCAAAGGAAGAATCCGTGGTTTAATAGGGAATGTATGATAGCAAAGGAGCTGAACAAAAGGGCATGGAGGAACTTCCGTAATAACAGAACACCAGAAAGTAGAGAGAGATACCAGAGAACCAGGAACGAGTATGTTAGTGTGAGAAGAGCAGCTGAGAAAAGGTATGAAAATGATATAGCTAATAAAGCCAAGACCGAACCAAAGCTACTACACAGTCACATCAGGAGGAAGGCA